CGGCGTTGTCTTGTGGTTCACGAGCATCCTGCAGCTATGAATTCAACGATGAATGGATGGGCAGAGCACAACTGAGAGTTACCGCACTGCTCGGGCAATCTATCGATGCGTGACCTAATTGCTTGCACAGGTGGCATCGCTTACGTCTGTAGCGCTTGGGTTTGGAGCATTCCCAGTGGCCATGTCCGGACTCGGCGCAGTTCTTGCACATCCAGCTCTGTGATATATACGAATGAGCATAAGAAGAAAAATGCACTGAATGCACACACCTCACGTTTAGCACAATCGTCAGAGACGTGTCCTTTTTCGCCGCATCCACCACAGGTCCGGTTCAACACGCCTCTAGGCTTTGGACACGCCTTGGACTCGTGTCCTGGCTGACGACAGTTGAAACAGAGTCTGTCCTTCGAGGTGCATTCGGTCGCGAGATGGTCCACTGCGACGAGAGGCCGTCACTGCCTGCGTGACGTGGGAACGTCGAAGCACTTACCATCTCCACACCTGTAGCATCGTGCTCTCGGGTCGGCAGTAGACATCGGATCCCGTTGGGGGCGGTGGGTGCGAGGTGGGTGCGAGAGGATGGAAAGCGTCCACGATGGGCCGGCTAGCAATAAATATTGCGCGGCACTGAAGATAACCTGAATAGTTTATCTTGGAGAAGGAAAGTCGCATTCGCGAAACAGCTGCCTGAAGCGGTCTTCACTCCGCCCTTCACTTAAGCTTCACCCGAGATGGTTTCAGCCTCCTAGCCTCCTATTCCGATCATGCTCGTATCTTGGGGCATCTTCCCAGCCCCAGCAAGACTCTAAGAAGAAGCTTTTCTGTGAGCATGAACGGTCAAACAATGAATCAGATCTCTGACATTAGGTCACATACCGGGACATAAGTACTAAGTACCGCCGGAAGCACTGCAGTCACTCCACTCGTTCGAAGAGTACTCAACAAATAGAATTGCAATCACCAGAGAGGACAGGCTTGCGCCTTTGATCAAAGTCAGGTGGACTGGCGAGACCGCGTAATATCGAGAGGAGGGAGGAGAAGTACCGTGGCAGACTCGGACCGGGCCGATATGCCTACAAGCGCCCAAAGACCTGCCTCTTGACTAGCTTGACTCTTGAGACAACGGTCGGTGCCATTGTGACGAGGACTCCTCGGGACTTGGAAGGCTGGAGGCGTACAGATCAAGCTCAGCTTTCATGACGGACTCTCTGGTTGTCGACTTTGTCTCCTGGTTCTCAGCCCAGCATGGTGTTCTAGACACGGCAAAAATGGGCATCGTCGCTTTTCCTGGCCACGGTCGCGGGGCGATCGCGCTCAAAGATATCCCAGTATGTACATCACCCTTAACGGGGCGTACTGGATGTTAATTAGCGTGACAGGAATACCATACGATATTCAGCATCCCGAGAGGTTTGACGTTGTCTACGCGGACCTCGACCCTCCCGACGCTCATGGGCGAGGCGTGGAAGGAAGGCGGACTAGACGAAGGCTGGGTTGGCCTCATTCTGTGCATGATGTGGGAGGAGAGTAGAGGTGCGGACTCGAAGTGGTCAGGATACTTCTGTGAGTACTCTTTTTTCTCGTTTGCCATTGGGTGTTCATGGCCTCTGTAGCTGTGCTGCCCGAGAAGTTTGACACGCCAATGTTTTGGGGAGAGGACGACTTGAGAGAGCTGCAAGGGACCGCTGTGGTAGGTCTGTCCCTCAGCCAATGGTCCATCGCTCCCATCCTGATCTTTTTATCAAGACAAAGTTGGGAGGGACGACGCTGAGCGTGACTATCACGAGAAGCTGATTCCCGCCGTAAAGGTACGTATGTTCCTGGTTAGAGATATCGCATCTCCTCATGCTTGTTACTTCCGCAGAGTCGGCCAGATCTCTTCCCCGAAGACAAACTGGAGAGATACTTCTCGCTTGAGCGCTACCACCTAAACGGCAGCCGCATCCTTTCGCGCAGCTTTCACGTGGAAAAGTGGCCGGGGGAGCACACTGAGGGGGAAAGTGACGAGGAAGGTGCCAACGAGGTGGGCGAAGACAGCGCCATGGACATCGACCCGCAAGAGCCATCGGCAGTGGTGCCGGAGGAAGCTGTCCACGAGGAAGCTCCTCCGGACGAGCCGGAGGAACTACACGCCGAAGGGCGCGAAGACGACTCCGACGACGAGGATAGAGAAGACCCGGCGGATGTTGCAATGGTCCCCATGGCTGACATGCTGAATGCACGATTCGAGTCCGAAAACGTATGCGACCACAGTCATGTCTAAACGTATGAAGGCACTAACATGCGCGTGTTCGGACAGGCCAAATTGTTCTACGAGGAACATGAGCTCAAAATGGTTTCCACGAAACTAATCAAGGCCGGCGAGCAGATTGTATGCCGGTCTGAACATTGCATTCATGTAGGGACTTACTGACACCTTGCAGTGGAACACGTACGGCGATCCTCCTAATTCTGATCTGCTTCGCCGATACGGCCACGTCGACATGGTTCCTCTTCGCCCGCCATTATCCGGCATGGGCAACCCAAGCGACGTCGTCGAAGTCCGCGCAGACCTGGTCGTCTCTGTCGCATCCAATAAGGTCAAATACGACCTGCAAGAACGCGTGGACTGGTGGCTGGAAGAGGCTGATGACGAGTACCTCTTTTCCTCTCTTCACTCGAAAACAAACTGAACGTGACATGCCGAACTTAGCGTATTTGTCTTGCGGACGGACTGTGAGTTGCCAGAGGAGTTTGTTTCCTTTGAGCGGCTCCTGTTACAATCAAAGGACGAATGGGAGAAGACTGCGAAGAAGAGCAAGCTGCCGAAACCAAAAGTCGACAAGGATGTTTTGACCATCGCAATCGACGTTCTGGAGGCGCGGTTGAAGGAGTACCCTACCTCCATCCAAGTATGTCAGACGGTACCTTTTACTGCTCACCTCATTTAACGGCGTTCCTAGGAGGACGAGAAACTACTGGAGCCGGGCAGCGTGGAGCAGCTGTCCGTGAACAAAAAGAACGCTGTGGTCGTTCGCTTAGGCGAGAAGCGTATCCTGCAGGGTACTCTGAAGCAGTTGCGTTCGATGGTCGCTGCTCTTGCTGGTCCCAGCAAGAAACGAGGACGAGAGGACGAGAAGAGCGGGAAGGGCAAGAAGGCTAGGAAGTAAGAGGCTGTGACTCGTGTCTAAGCTTCCGTCTCGCCGTCTCGATTTCAAGATGCGGTATCAGTACTTCGACTTGCCCAGAATCTTCTTATGCATCTCCGTAGCCAGGTTCCTCCCCGTCTGTTCGCTCGGGTGCAGCTCGTCCCACCACATATACGAGTCTCTCTCCTCCAACGTGCAGTCCCCTCTGCAAAACGATCAACGGAATCAGCAGGCTCTCGAACTTTGCAAAAACGCGTACATACATTCCGCACTGTCTCCAGTCGTCTGGGTCGGGGCATTGGTGGCAATGGCCCGTCACGTTGGCAGGTATGCTCCCGTTGAAGTACTGCGTCGGTTTGTCATACATCTCCTCGAAGAAACTGTACGTGTCGAACCACTCGACGCGCCCGTCTCCTCTCCACTCCTCATTCAGCGTCCGCACGCCGTCGCTGAGCATCCGGTTCAGACTGTGCACGAGGTTGTACATGCTCCGATGCCACACGGTGCCGTTGTGCGGTGGGGACGGATAGTAGATCGTCGGGTCGGACGAGTTCGAGTACAGCTTCGTGAGCTGCAATGGGATGAGGGAGTTCAGGACGAACTGGCGTGCCCCGAGGGCGTGCAGCGCGCGGAGCGTGTCGAGCTGGCAGTCCGCGACGTCCGGCAGCGCGACGTCCTCGCCCTGATCGCTCGTCACGAAGTTGTTGATCCCGACGTCGTTCGTGCCGACCCACATGATCACGACGAAGGATGCGGGATCGAATAAGAGTCTTTGGTGTGTGGTGCCGTTGTGCGCGACGTGGTCTTGCACGAACCATGCAAGCTGTCCGGATGAGACGTCGGGCACGCCCAGCAGCGGCGTGAGGGTGTTCGAGCAGACCGCGCCGCCGACGGCATAGTTCCAGATTGTGTAGTTGCCGTAAAGCCCGAGGTAGAAGGGCCACTGGAAGCCGCCATCGGCCGCGGTATCTGCCTAGGTAGAGACCCAATATTGTCAGTGTATGGATACACGGGATGCATGAACTGCCTACAGGAGGGTAGATCTCCTGGTAATCCTTTCCAGGATATGTCCCGTTCGAGATACTGTGTGCTCGAGACTGGTCTGCGGTCTCGCGTGAGTGGCCCTGTGTTCGAACGGGAGGGTAATTTTTGACTACCTGTGTAAGAGTCCCCGAAGAAGACAACATTGGTGATTCGAGCATCCACGGTGCTAAGCATCGTCACGACGCTACCCAGGGCGAGAAGCCGCTTCACGCGAACCAAGAGCATCCTCGCAGAGTTGAACTGATGATGGGACTCTCCGTTCACTGGGCTGTATAGCGAGCTATTTAGCTGATGCTAGCAGTGCTTGTGAGTACGTGTGCAATGAACGTCAAGTGGGCAGCCACATGACTGTCCCCTTCCCTGCAACAAGGTGACTGTGTCTAGACATGAAAGGACCAGCGCCGTAGGCATCGGGCCGGTGTCATATGGCGTCGTATGTCGGTCCGCCGCCGACTTGTCTGAGTCGACGTGAGCAGCAGCGAGATCACGTTGTATTTCTCGTAGTTATGATCATAGGGACCATAGATGGCACAACACACATCTTCGTACACAATGTTTTCCGAGGATACGGCGGAGCCATGATATTCCCAACTGGTCAATTGATATCTGCAAGAGGGCGGTCCGAGTTAGTCTCGGTTGCCGACCTCCCGAGTAATACTGGGGTCCCTCTCGCTAGTCAAGGTGCCCTCCAGAACATGACCTCTAATGCTTTGGCCATGTCGCGGAGTTACGGGAAGATGATAATCAGAGGTTGTGTCACGCCCTCATACCGTAGGTTCCAAGTGTCTTGTGGTGGTGGTGGAAAAACAATGTTACTGGCTCGCGGGATGGCCAACGCCGGGATCGAACCGACGACCTTGGCGTAACAAGTCACTCCAAAGGAAGCAGACTATTAGCACCACGCTCTAACCAACTGAGCTAGCCGGCCATACAAAAATCATACTTTGCTCTATGTCCAGCCACATTCCTCTAGACCACTTGTGTGACGGTCCTGTCGCAGGAGCATCAATTTTTCTCCAGGAACTGACGCTGCAACTTTTCTGCGCCGATAATGATGAACCGCACACTGGCAGCAGAGATGGGAGGAACATCATACATGTGCTGTGAAACTTAAGGGAAGCTCACAAGTGCGAGGAAGGCAGTGCGCTCAGATAACAACCTTGAGGGTGCACCACTCCAACATGACCCTCCTCTTCAATGCTGGCAGGGAGGTTTAGCTAGAGGTAAGTCAGAGGTTCGGGAACGATAACAAGTACAGGCCATACATGTTGGCACCTTCCAATGGCTACAAAGTATCGAGAGTCGTACGGCGAGAACATGAATGGCCACAGGATGCTTTACAATATACAATACGAGGCAAGGCAATGGGGTTGTTGTCTATGGCAGGGAAGAATGGTGTCAGGTATATCGACAACAGAAAGGGTGAAAGGGTGATGAGGGATATGCGGGTGCAAAGGTCGAGCGACAACTCCAGGGCGGTCATACGAAGTCCGGAGACTTGCCCACCGCGTACGCATTCAAGCACGCCACAAGGGGCGTGTGCACCAGATTGGCGGTGCGCAGGTTGCTGTCGCACGCCTGTGGAATCGGAGGATGTGCCTGATGGTCTCGTCAGTGCTTCCCGCAAACACGGGTTCAACTAAGAGATGCTGACCACAGTGAAACTCTTCGCCATCGCCAGGTCCGACAATAGCTTCGAGCATGCCAAATGCACGACGTGCCACGCGCTCTCGAACGCAGTCAGCTTCGTCGCAAGCGCATCGCAGTTGTCCTGCACCTCGCCCGCCAGCTCGCGCGTGGTCATCTCGTGGCCGGCGCTGTCAGGTTCCAGAGACTGATCTGCGGACGTATACTAATAATTAGCGACGGAATTTTACTTGCTACCCAGCAAGTGAGCTGCGAGCGCACATTCGTGAAGGTGGACGTCCACAGAAATGCCGACTGCATGCATGCACGCCAATCAGCCAGAAGCGCACTCGTGATAAATGAAGAGGGCATACAGCAGGAGAAGCGCAGCTTTTCCAGACGCGCTAGCGCGACTTTGAAGGTGTACACCATCTTAGTCAGGAGTCGACGGAGGGTCTACGCATAAATGTCACGGGTCGCCGGTCAGCAATTTGCGCGAAGCCGGCCCCCGAGGGGATGATTGGAATATCGACACACCTGCCAGATAGACATGCAGAGCCTAGCAAGTAATTGTTGAACGACACTCGGTACACCAGCAGGGCCCCGAACTTACTCTTCTATGCCAGTCCAGAGACTCTCAAAGAATCCGATAGGCTCAGCCTTGACTCTGAGCGCACTCGCGACCTTGCGCGGGAACATCTCAACGTCTTTGGAGAGGTCGTTGAACTTTTCCGCGTTTGCCCTAGAGGCATTCAAGTGCACTGGGATGATCTGTGGGCGAGAGAATGGTACATCCAGGATATCGATGTAGTATGACGGAACCATACCTCGAGGAACTTTCCGATCATAGCCTGCTTCTGCTTGAGCGAGACATCCTTTGACTGCGACAGCGGAACCAAGATCTCCGCAAAGTCTGCACAAGGTAAAGAACATGATCAGCACCGCTGCTCAGCGCCCCCTCGGAGCGTGTTCAACCTGCGTTGTCCGAACTCACTCTTCAGAAAATGCGCACAAAGCCCCGCGTTCTGCTGTGAATCTCGATATATGCGTCTATGCCGCTGCGTCCCGCCAAGGTCTCCGCATGAGCCTTCCGCCGCCTTACACCCAGACTGAGACTTCACCGCAAGAAACGCGTACACACCTGCCGGAACTCGTTCCACTCCGCACACAGGGCATGCTCCTCTCCAATCTCCGGTGTGCTCTCCAGCTGGGCCGCAACGGTCCTGAAGAGCTCCTGGATATCAAGTTGGTCGTTCGTCAGCGTCACGAAGTTCTGCTTGAGCTCCGTGCGGGCCCGCTGGGCGGCCTGGACGTCGCTGTATGTCGGTAGTTCAATGTCGGCCATTACACACTACAAGCCTCCTCGGAGTCAAGTCGTCGAGATGGAGCTGTCAGACCGTATACGGTGAAGAGTGAGATTCAGAATACAAGCCGCAAGCCGCCCTTAGGGGCAAGGCTCATCGTGCTGTGGTAACGTTAGACGAGTCAAGCCTCCTTCTGGTCACGTGCCGCTCAGAGTCGGCTCCGAATCCACAAGTTAAAGTTCCTCCATTGTCGACAAGGGAGAGATATACCCTAGTATATTACGCAGAGGATAACATAGATATATAGTACAGCGTACGGAAGATCGTTCCATCCGTTTCAGAAAACTGCCAACTTCTTTATCTACTCATCTACTCAGAAAGTCAGGACGTCCGCGTCAAATGTCAAGCTCACAAGCAGTACTGCAAGCATGCAACGCGGGCTGAGAATCCTACACACCCGTAGAAAACGCGATCCGCTGCTTCTTCAGCTCCTCCTCCTGCAATCCCCCCGATTCTACTCCCCCCACTCCAGAGATGAACTGTCCCTTCTTCGCCCCACAGCCACCCAAATCTTGCGCCTTCGGCACCGTCTGCCCGCTCTCGCCATTCGCGCCAGTACTAATACTCGGAGCCGCCGGAGCAGGCGCAGGAGCCTCCTCCAGCATCCACACCACGCCCTCCCCATCCTGCAAGTCCACGCCCACCCGCTCGAACATCTCCGTCCACCAGATGAACACATCCGGCGCGAACGGGTCCGTCGAGGTGCCCACGAGGAACCCGAGCGTCCGCACGAGCTCCAGCGCGGGGAAGAACACGCGGTACGCCGCAAACGCCTCAAGATGCGCCTGTGCATGCGTCGGCTTGTTCGGGTACAGCTGGTTGACGCCGATGCCCCGGATGCCAACTCGCCGGAGCGTGGGGTGGGGCTCCTCGAGCGGCGGGGCCGAGGACACGCTTGCGTTGTAGGGTGCGAGGTTCACCGCGGATGGGGTTCGCGCTGAGGTTGCAGATGGAGCTCGTGGTGCAGGCGATTGGGTCTGCTGCTCGGAAAGTCGCTTGTGCGCGATAGGGGAGACCGAGATCACCCGCTCCCGACAGTCGAAGACGAGCGTTTCGAGATTGGGACATGCGGACGGGGATAGGAAAGCCGAAATGTTGATCGGCCCCGGGCGCATGGACTGTGTATTGGACGGAAGAAGCTCGACCGTCCGTAATTGATGGCCGTAGGCATCGAGGAAGCTCACCAGCTCCTTCGTCACGAATGGGGCATGCACAGTCCGCGGAGCGCCAGAGGCATCGAGGACCAGGTGGCACAGCTCTGGCATCACCTGCTTGCTTGCATAGCGGAGTAGTAGTGGGCATGTCGGGAGCGCGAGGTGAGTGACATGAGGGAATGTCAACGACTCAAAGGTAATGTGTTGGAGGCTGCGTCCCGCATCGAGAATGCAGATCTTCCGAAGATCGAGAATGCGCAGGGTGGAGAACTTGGTAAGCGCGGATGAAGCGAGAACAGGGAGCTCCTTCGACACGATGAGCACGCTGTCTTGCTGCCAGAAGAGTTCCTGGAGGCTCGGAGGCAGATATTGCACCAATACGGGCAAGAAGCCCTCGGGAAGGGGTTCCTGCCACACGCCGCTGAACACACGCAGCCGAGAGCAGTATGAGACAGCGCGGATGATGGCTTGCCAGTAGAACTGGGTTTGGTGTGACCTCGCCCAACGCCGGACCTCGAGGTGCCTGACCCACTGCCCGTACCCCGGATCGTCCACCTTCTGCAGCGTCCCGTCCTCATGCTTGATCTCCCTCCGGCTCTCGCGAAGTGCCTTGCAAAGGTTCTCGATGCGCTGTGCGCTACCGAGGACGACATGCTCGTAGAGGAGCTCCGTCGCGATGGCCTTCCAGACATGGCATACGCGTACGAGTGCGCACTTCGTCCGCATCGATTGAATAGGTGAGTTCATGCCCCGGGCATAGTCCACCGGCTTCTCAGGAAGCAAAGGGTCCCCAGGGGCGATTGAACGGGCGCGGGGGACATGAGTCGCGTACCGAAATATCTCCAACCAAAGCTCGGGCGGCAGGCTCGTGTGGTCGACCGTCGGTGTCCTCAAAACTCCGTCGTCCACCGGTGGGGGTGCGGCGTCACTGGGAACAGGGTCGTGTTTGGGAGGCGGCTCGTCCATTTCAGGCGTAGCGCTCCCTGGGCGAAGCGCAGTTTTCAGCATCAGCGGACATCTGCACAATGCGGCGGCCTAACGGTGATACAAGTTTTGATGCGCCCCAAGCGCCCTTTTACCAGCAGCAAGCAAATCAGACAAATCGAGCGATTGCAAAAGAAGAGCGACAAGCAGGACGAATGCAGTGTGCATCATGGGCGATCGCAAGCAACCACCCGTCCTGACTGCGATCTCGGTATGTTGGGCGCTAAGCGTGCGGTCAGGGGACATAACCATAGTGTCAAGTTTACGGAAACTGGGCGGTAGCAAGGCACAACTACCTTCAAAAATGGCCTGCATTCAAAATATCACTGGACGCTAAAGGGCGCACCGCTATCGCGCTTGAAATGCGTTTGGACACCCGACGTCATTGGCGCGAGCTCCCGTTCCTAGGCCGAACCAACTTAAGTGCTTGCATGTACCTTGACAGGGATTCTTGCATCAAGCACTTCACCGCAGGCATGCGTCTAGAGCTCTCATGTGCACAGAGTAATCACGGAAGAAGTTAGACATCGAGTCGTCCATATCGTGTGCGCACGGAAGCATCGAGTTCAGGCCCTTCGTGCATGCAGAGCTCCTCTTGCGAGCCCGATGACTGCTTCTGTGAGCTCATATCTATGTCTAAGAGCATCTGGCGCGCCTGCAAGTGTCCCGGGGCGGCGCTGCTAGTCATCACCGACCGGGGTCCACATACGCGAAGGCCCACCTCCCGCTCCGAGCCCCGCCACTCAAATCCAAATCGTGTCCCCAATCTCATGTGCGCTTCCTAGCACAAAGATCCGACG